AGCTAAATAAACTAGATAACAAAATATATAAGAAAGACATATACACCAACCAGATTGCCAGATTTGCCAAAAAAAAAATAATATTTAGATATACTATGTTGAGCTATCTAAATTGTTAATTTGAAGAATCTTGTTAATTCTAAGTAAGAAGAAGTTAAGTAAAATATAAGCTGACTATCTAAATTAGATACTTAAAGCAAATATATAACTAGTTATAAACTTTTATATATAGATATTCTTAAAGACATTTGTGTTCAAATTAACTTTGATAAAAATATTATTTTCTAAAAACAGAGACTTTAACTTAAAAAAAAATAAAAAAATAAAAAATTTACTTTTTAATAAAATATAAATAAAATAATCAAATATATTTTTAATAAAAAACTTTAATAAAATATTAATCAAATTTAAATTTATTTTATTATTCTTATTATTCTTTTTATATTAGCATTGTAATTATAATTATTATTTATAAAATTTCATTTATTTTTATATTTATTGTTTTCAGAACATTTATTACTATAATTATTATTAATAACATCTATATTCTTATTTTGTTTTAACTATTATAGTCAAAAAGTATATTATTTTTAGAATCTAAATATTTAAATAATCTTCTAATAAAATTTATATTAAATCTATTTTATAAAAACTTTTTAATATAATCTAATAGTATAAAAGTATAAATTATAAATGATATTTGTTTATTTTAATATTTTTTAAACTTACTAACACTAATATACAGTATAGAAATTAATGTTATATAATAATACATAAAACAAAAGTAAAAATAAATAAAAAATTATCTTAGACTTAAAACTTTTATTAATTGAAATATTTAAATATTGTAAATTTAAAATGCAACTTGATAAAATAACAATAAAATTTGTATATTTTTCTATTAGTTAATTTTATTGAATTAATAGCATATATATAAATATATCTAATATTAATTAAAGGTTGTTTAAATAATAGTTTTTTAAAATTCAAACTGTTTTTATTTACTATAACATTTTATCTATTCTAATTCATTAACATTAATCTATTCTAATTCATTAACATTTATCTATTCTAATTCATTAACATTTATCTATTCTAATTTATTAACATTTATCTATTCTAATTCATTAACTTGAATATAAATATCAGATGAAAAATCTTTATAAAAATATTTTTAATTTAAAAATACAAATACTAAAAACTTTATACTTGCAAGATAATAATAAAAAAAGATCTTTTACAACTATTAATACAAATACTAATTAATATTTTGTTTTTTATATTAACAAAACTATTGTTTAATAAATTAAACTATAAGAATATTTTATTATTATTACAATTATTCTATAAAGAATAATTATTTTAAGAATTATTATAACTTGCACCATTAAACACTATTTTATAACTCTTTTTGTAGATTATTTGTTCCAAATTTTTGCTAAAAACATTTAATTATTTCTCAATATTTTATTAAGTAAACCTTATTTATATATCTAAATATAGTTGCTCAACTTACTTTGCTTCTTCTAGATGGCTATGTTTCATGCTTCTGCAACACTTGACTACTAAGAAAAGTTCTAAAAATTAAAATATTAGTTTTTGCTTATTTGCTATATATTTTACTAAATAATTATATCTGGCTACCTATTAGAAAAATAACAAGCTCTTCATTCCAGTCATATAAATATATATTTTATTATAAACAAACCAAAACTTACTGAGATATTAAAAAAAGACAAAACTAAAACCTGTCTTTGCAGGTTATTTCACTGATAAATTTAGAAAAATTCATTGGGTTGCCTTAGAAAATTTACTTTTATAGCAGTTATTAAAATTTCTTAAACATCCAATTAGCCTTTTTAATAGCTTCACATTTCTTAAATCCTTTCTAACTTATTTGTAAAGCCTCCAAATTAAAATTTTTTATCTGAAAATCAGATTATTTAATCTGATTTAAAAATTGTTTTTTTACTAGCACAAACATCATACTAAGATGTTACACAAAATGCCTAGCATCATCATTATTAAACTAGACTTCTTTGATTTAGATATTCTTCAGAACAAATATAATGATTGAACTTTAGTTATTTTGGACAAAAACTGTAAAAGCTTCAAAGTCTGTTTAGCTAATTTCAATTCTACACAATGTAATATCAACAATAGCTACTACTTCTTCTCCAGTTCTACTCAACCTATTATTATAAGATGTTTTTGTAAAAATTACCACATATACTTTGCTTTATAGCATTTATTTTTGCCACCTACCTTTGATACCATCTTTATAATTGCAACTAAATTATTTAAATCTCTTTATAATATACCAAAGTTATCCTTTTAACCTAAACACAATATTGCTAATCTATTTTCTAACTACTACAGCAATATTAGACAAAATAACAATAACCAAATCTCTTTTACAGCCTATTTCTATTATATACACACATGCATTATTTGCAAAACCAAAGATGTATCTTGTATTATACTAACTGACAACAAACATTTATTAGCCAAAAGTCCTTGTATTCAAAACTAAAGTTGGTGGCTTCTTTGTCTACACTCAATGCAATCATAGACTCAAATTAAAGCTAACCAAATTTATAAGTCTTATAAACTAGAAACAACATAGTCTCTATTGCAAAACCAAATGTCTACAACTATCTGCAAAAGACAAATATATTTTCTTTAAAAAATTCTTGGATAAGCTTTCTAAAAAAACTAAAAAATACTAACAAACAACTAGACAATAAATTAATACAAAAGAAACCTTAAACAGAACATAAATAACAATAAACAACTTAAACAAAAAGCAAATACTCAAAAATGTAATACTTATAAAGACTTCAACTAGTTTAAAAACTATTCTGTTACTCTAACTATGCAACAATATAATAAACTTAAACTCCACTAGCCTTACAACTATTTAATCTTTTGAAATCTAATCTTAGAGCCTTTATTCCTAGTTAAATTATTTTCAATAAATTTGATAATAACAAAAATAACAACAGACCATCTGCCAAATTCTTCTTCAGCTATATCTTTAATAATAACAAGTAAAAAATCTAAGTTCTTGTCAGATTTTAGTATCAACTTAAGTCCTGACTTTGATAAATCAAAACCAATCTTCTTTAAAGCTTTTTATTATATTCTCAAAGGCTTACTTTTCAAGTTTATAAAAGTTTCCTTCATCTAACTAAACTATCTAAATATCCTCTAATTATACTATTTTATCTTATCTTATTTACATACCAACAGATGTAGAGTTGCTATAAACATAGTCTGCTTATATCTATATTTAAACCATAAATATAGAACTATTAACTTTGAAGAATTTATGAATAAACTTGACATCAAACTATTACAATTTACACTTTACTTTGATATTAAATACAGCTTTAAGCAACTTGAATTTACAATCCAAAATGAAAACTAGTTTAATATTAATACAACTCTTAATATTCCATTTGAAAAATTTTTAAAAAACTTTAAAATTTCATTATTTAAGCTCTATCTTACAACTTATAAAACTTGGTTTAAACCTTTTTTTAAAAAATATAGTATCCAATTTAAGAAAATTAATTAACAGAAAACAAGCAACTATATTAAAATGTTAATATCACAAAAATTAACAAAAGAATGCAAAAAACTTCTGCCAAAATTATACTTCTTGCCAAACTTATTACATACTCTTAAAGAGCACTCTGAAGCAACCTTCAAAGCAGCACTTCATCATATTTATCTTTGTTCTAACAAAGACTGTAACCTACTACTCAAATCAAATAAACATAATTTAGGAAATATATCTAAATTTTATTTTACTAACTCCTTCAAAACCTATCTAGTACCAGAATCAGAACAAAAAAATAGGTATACTCAATCTTAAAACTGATATCTTTTATTCTAAACAAAAACTTGCAGCAAGCTTCTCTATTTCAACACCTACAAAAAACTCAAAAGTTTAGCAATATCTACTGAAAAGACCTTTGCAAAGCTTAACAAAGTAAAAAGTAATACAGCCTAATCTATATACTACTTTTATTGCTATTTAAGAGCCTTTATATTAGCAGCAAGAGACAATGATAACTTATAGGTCTATTCCAAAAAGAAGCTTTAGAAAAAATGATTAAAACAACTGATAACATTCATATTTCTACAAGAGTTATTATATACTTAAATTGAAAATAGAATTCAAAATATCACTAAAACAAATACATATTAATTACAACTAATTTACTATTCTGCAGCTGAATATTTCTTAATAAAACATCTTAAAATCTTAATTACAGAACAATATAAATATTTTCTATTTATACAAAATTCCAAGACATTTACCTTTCAAGAAATAGATAAGATACACTTATACCTTCAAAAAAAACAATAAAAACAACAGAAAATACTATTATTTTACAAAAGGAAAATGTAAATACTTTTTTTCAATAATGTCTTTTACAGAACACATTAATGGCAACTGCCATCTCTAAAACTATAATGTTTTTTATATTTATTGGGCCATCTTTAGAGAAGAATGATGACAATAAGCAGGTAGTAAAGCCTAGAATAAGTGAATCTGTAGAAGACACTACACATAATGTCTCTGATACCAATACATCAACTCCTTTAAAAACAAATATTTGTTATAACAAATTCTTAAAACAATACTACCTACCTCTATTACCACAATCTATAACACTTAAAGAGTTTATTAAACACTTATACCAAATCCTTTTTTTTAACCCAATTAAAATATCAGTTAATTTTGATAATACAGAAACACATATTTATACTAAAATTATATATTTTACTATTTCTAATCATATAGCTATAAACTTTATTCAATATAAATTATGTGAACATTTGCCTATTCTAACTAAAGTTGCTGGTTGTAAGTAATAATTACGAACATTACAAATTACAACCTGGGTTGCAACCCTAATTACAACTAATACTCAAAGTTGCAATATGTCATATTGCTATAAAATATCGTAATAGTTGTAAGTGCCATAATGGTTGTAAATGCCATAATGGTTGTAAGTGCCGTAATAGGTTGTAAGTACCGTAACAAATATAAATGTTTGCAACAAACCTGCTTTATTGGTAGACTTTAATAAAATCTAAACAGATTTTATAAACACAATGCAATCAAAAGGCGTAGTTTCTTTTGTTTGGAATATATGCTATTAAATTGTCTTATTGAATACGCTACAATTAAAATACTAAATTTAGTTATCACCAATGAATACAGTTAATATTGTTCTTATTTGGCTTATCTCTAACACAAGATAGTGTGTGTAATGTGAAGTTTTAAACTTGCACTGTATGTACGTACATACACACGTTTTTGAATTTGCTCAATACTTTAGATGTGATGCATGCTATTTATATCGATATACTATAAGTTTTAAATTGTCTTCACATGCTGTAGTATTGCAGTACCAGTATTTATTTTACTTTATTTTTTTTTTGAAATGTTTGGGAAATTGGAGACGTCTTTAATGCTATTATAAGCTATATATGGCAGCTTTTAAGTAATTGTATTGATTCAAACCAGAATTTTTAATATATTTGGAAAACCCTTAATATACAAGAATTGAGGATAACCTTATTTTGTATCCTGATAATTCAAGAATTTTGCATAATAGGAATGAATTAAAATTTGTTATTTTTAAATAACTAAATTAAACATATTATGTTATATCGATATGTTCCATAGTAGAGTGTCCAGACATGCAATTTTGGGAATTTGTTATTATTTAAATAATAAAAAATTGGACACTTTATTTATGAAACTTGCAAAGATTAAAGTTTGTAGATCTTGATAAACCCAATTGAGTGTTGTTATCAATGCTAGCTTGCATAAAGTGAAATACAAGATTTATAATACTTTTATAAAATAGAATGCATTCTTTCACATTAATTAAAATATAAGCTTATTGTTATATATTTTAGAAAAAAGTAGAAAGTAATATAATATAAATACCTTTTATTAAAGCCCAATTAATTCTTAAACTTGTATATACAAAAATCTTATATTTAGAACTTATATATTTGACTTGTATAAGCTTAAACTAATATGTAGCAAAACTAGTTATTATAATAAAGCAGTTAAGTTCCCAATTTATCCTTATAGAATAATATTGTAAATATACAAATACGTAATTAAATAAAAATTTAACAGTATAAAAATCTTATAATGCTATTAGCAAGTAACAAAAATTTTGCTATAAATCTCTTATAAATTTATTGCCAAATTTTTAAATTGATTAAATGACCAAACGAAAATGAAATCAAAATAACAATTCAAGTAATACTGATACTGAAACAGAGTCCAGAGATTCTAATAATTCAAAATTTGGATGTCCGCAAACAGGTGTTTGGAAATTTTTTGAAAGAGGTCAATCTAAAGATGATGGTTATTAGGAAGGAACTTGTTCATTCTGTGAACATTTTTATTCATGGGCCAAACCACAAACTCTGCAAGCACATCTTGCTAATAGTTGTAAAAAAGTTCCTAAAGAGTGGCGGTATCATTTTAATAATATTATAGTTAATAATTTAGAAGATATTCCAACTGATGAACCTATATCAAATGCTAGTTCATCTTTAGTTAAACAAAAAAATATAGCCAAACAACCTGGGTTAACTAATTGGTATGATTCTATAAAAATTAAAACACCTATGCAATCATTAATTGACAAAGCTATTTTATTAGCTTTTGTTATGTGTGGTATTCCTTTTTGTATTGTCAACAATCCTTTTTTTACAAGCACTTTATAGCTTCTAAATCCTGGTTATAATATTCCATCACGTGAGGTTCTCTCAGGACACTTATTAGATTCAGAACTTGCAAAAGTTATTCACAAAGTTGATGGAATTTTAAAATATACAAACAACCTTACTATCGATCTTGATGGTTGGACTGCTCCTAATGAGTTATCAATTTGGAATTTTGTTATTATGACACCATTACGGCAAGAATATCTCTATGAACTTGGAAATTATTCTGATCAATCTCATACAGCAGAATTTCTGGCAAGCCAAATCGAATTAATTATAAATTGTATTGGTAAAGATAAAATTTTAGCAATAATCAGTGATAATGAAGCTAATGTAATATCTGCATGCAATATAATTTGCTCAAAATATAAAAATATTATAAATATTCGTTGCATTGCTCATTGTTTTAATCTAATTAGTAAAGATATTATTAAACATACATTTGCAGAAAGAATGATTTAACGTGCTAATAAAATAGTAACATTTTTTAAAAAATCTCATAAAGCTGAAGCTATATTAAAAAAAAAGTTATACAACATCAAATTAGTGGCAGTGGTCTTAAAACATATATAGAAACAAGATGAACAACTGTATATGAATGTGTCTCCTTAATTGTGCAACTTAAGATTTGCTTAAAGGAAATTCAAGAAAATCACTCTGAAATTATTAGTCCTGTTATTTTAACAATACTTTGTGGTCGAGGCTTTTTTACTAATTTGCAATATCTTTCAGATGTTTTATTTCCAATCAAAGAAGCAATTTTGGCAGTTGAGGCAAATCGTTCTACACTTGCTGACTGTTATATTAATTTAGTAAAAATTGCTGCAGCAATTCAAAATCTTGCTATTGATGAATATAAAGGATTTCACAATGAATGTGTTAAAAATTTAATAAATGGTTTGAAGAATTTAATAATCCTATTTATCAACTTACATATTTTCTTTATCTAGCATATAAAGGTCTTGGATTAAAGTTTGATACATTTCCTTTTATTGCAAATTATGCTAGAAAATTATGGCAACAAATGAGTAAATCAAAAGAAAATTGTGAAGCTTTAATAACACAATTACGAATTTACAAAGAGCAAAAAAAAAATATAAATAGAAATCTAAATCCTTATACTGTCCCCTATACAATTAGTAAGGATACACCATTAATGTGGTAGAATACATGTGAAACTAAGCCTAACAATTTACAACACTTGGCAATTAAACTTTTTTCTATTACACCAAGTTCAGCTCTTTGTGAACAGATGTTTTCAGCATTAGGATGGATTTATAGAAAGCATCAAACTAGATTAAATATAGATCAGTTAGAAGAATTAGCAAAAATTTATCAGTTTAATTTATCAAACTCTATAGAACAACTTCATCATACTCAAACCGCAGAAATAAATCCTGAAATAATGACAAATATTGCTGAAACTGTTTTTAAAGAGTTTGAAGAAGAAACATTAATAGAAGATGATGATATTGAAATGCTTAATCCTGCTAAAAACCTTTATCCAAATAAACAAGATTTAGACTTAAGCATTTCAGCTTCTATTGATTTTAAATCTTTAGTTTTTATGTTCTCTAATAGTTATGAAAGTAGGAATTTTAATGAAATCGAATCTGATAATGATATACAAGAAGGTAAGTATAATGTTGACAAAATTGTTGCTGCAGAATTAAATTACAGTTCACATTAAATATAAATACAAACAAAAAAGAGAATTAGGTAATATAATAGTTCTCTTATGAATTCAAATACAGTATATCAATTCATAAATTATAGTGATAGTTAAAATCTCTCCTTGATCTTGTAAAAAAAAAAACTTATTTTACCCTTCACTCTAAATTGATGTATATATTTTTTTATCTTACTTTGTTTTACTATTATGTTATATGAAATATTTATATTATAAAGATACAAATTACGAGAATCTTACAATATATACTTATTTATCGTTTAAGATCAATATTGCAATTTATAGTTACATACGTATCAGATACTATGCACATATATAATTACTATATAATCGAACAAAAAAATTTATCTGTAAAGATATATACATGAACATGCCAATATTTTAAAGGCTTTATTTATTTAGATAACCCTCTGATTTATTAAAATTACTTATCATTATAATTACTTAAGTTACTATTGGATTCTATTGCGTCACAATTTTTAATAAAAAAAGAACACTTAAAGAGTACATTAAGAAGACTTTGGCAAGTCTAACCTTATTTGTACATGTTTATACGTTCAAGAGATATTGGGTTTAAATTTTTTAAAAAAAAACCTGGCTAACAATTTACTATGTATATTTATAATTAGACCGATATAAAATACTCTAATAAAAGATCCAGTATATACATATATGGAAGAAAAATAAATAATTATTAAGTATTGCTACAATTGCATTGAGCAAATACTTACGTATTAGTCATTATGACACCTATTATGACCATTACATTCATTATAACTGTTGTATTCATTATGTTCATTACACCCATTACAACTATTACACCTATTACAACTATTACATCCATTACAGCTATTACAGCTATTACGACAATTACAGCTGTTACAACTATTACATCTGTTACAACTATTACAGCTATTATGATAATTACAGTTATTACGATTATTACACCATTTATGACAAAAAATTACAACTTTAAGTCAAAGAGTTGCAACTTTACAACTCTATCAAATCTATTATGACAGGCAACCTTAATCATCATTATTATAATTTTTAGAACTATTAGACTTTGACTTTTCTAGACTAACAGTCTGTAAAGTAACTAATATTATAGTAGTTTGTTACTCTTGTAAATAATGTCTAATCTCCCAACTTTTATTATCTAAAATCTGACTTAAAATATTATATACATTTTGTCTACTAAAAAAATATTCATAATTTTGTTTAGCATTTGAATATCATGTTATATATATACCAAAAACATTTATAAACTAACTCTTTATATATAGAATAATGATACATTATAACCTAGCAGAATTGCTATTATTTGATAATTTTTTTTGAATATTATATACTAAAATCTCTTTAAATTTAGCTATAACATCCTGTAACAATATAGCAATTCTAGTTTGTAGAAGATTGTAAGAGCTATGTACTAATCATTCATGACAAATAAGTTCTTGTTTTTTTTTAAAAGATTTTTGTAGAATAATGAACAAAAAACACAATTACTAATAGAGTTAATATTTTTAGTTGAGGAATATATTCGAGCTTTGTGAAGCAAAAGACTATGTTCATTTTTAAATTTTTTTTTTTAGAACAAAGGTTACAAATAATTCTGAATAATATTAAAATATCTATAATTAATAGTGATAGTAAAATACATATATATATATAATATTATAATTTTTTGAGATTATTTTTTTATAATCAACCAATCAAATAATAATAATATAAATTTATTTGGAATATATTTTTAAGGTTCAATTTTGCAAATTTACTGATATAGCTTAGTTGATAATACTTTTTACTTAGAGGTTCTTGTCTGTTTGACTTTTTAATATTAGTATTCATTTTTAAATTTAGTTTTTACAATAATATTATCAAAGATTTATAATACTTTTTTGTTTAGATCTTTTTAAATAAGCTTTTTGTTTTTTTTGTTTTTATAAATTTACATAACTACAAAGACTTATTTTAGGTTTGTATTACCTAATATTAATTTACATTCTTCTATATAATCAGTTATACAGATATCTTATAACTTGCCAATTATGCTAATATAATTATATTTATAGGTATCTTAACTTAATTGTTAAAAAATAATTACTGTAATATAAGTAAAAATCTAAATTTTTAGTATTTAAATTTTAAACTTACAATTTGCTATTTGGAAAGATAACAACTTATTTACTTCACTAAGTTGTTACACTATTAATACATTTTGATAGTTTACTTTTATATAAAAAATTCAAACTTTTTTTATATAATATAAAATATAAAAATGTCTTAATAAAAAATTCTTATTATTAAATAAAATTTTTAAAATTTATGTATTTGTTCTTTTAAACAACTTAACTAAGATATAAATATCAATTAATTTAATAAAAAATTAACTTTTATATGTAATTATAATTATTAATTAAATTTTATTTTTGTAATAAAATTAATTTTAATTGATTAAAAAACATTATATTATTAATCAACAAATATCAAATAACCTTTTAAAATTATTTGAACTTTAAAATAACAAATAACTAATTATTTGTTATTTGAATAATTTCAGGTCATTTACCATCTCTAATCACAATATCTTTAATATTGTATAACTGATATAATAAATTGCCTCTGACACTTATAAAAGCAATCAAAAAATAACAAACCTAAAAAATAAGGTTAAAATAAATACTAAATAGTAAATACAAATCTTAATAAAAATTAATGACAAAACTGTCAAAAAGAAGAAATAAACCCCCAAAAAATCTATTTTAACAAAAGTTTAAATTTTATAACTTATTAATTAAACTTTCAAACCTTTACAAATAAGATCGACAATTCAAAATAAACAAAAACAAAACTAGGTTTTGTTTTTGTAATCTATAAACCCCAAGAATCAAATGCAAAACCCGTAAAAAAAATCTAAATAAAAGTACAAATTTGAAATAACAATTTCAGAAAAAAGACCCAATGTGATGAATTAATTTCACCACTATTGGTGAATTGGTTGAATTGATGAAGTTTGGTGAAATTAATTTCACCAGTATCTCTAAATGTACGTATATATACCATTGATAAATAACTTTTTTCTTACGCATACGTTTTTACAATACTTTTTTTAGTACCAATGGCTTAACTTTTTATAAAACGTGAGTACGTACGTGTGTAAATACTTACAGAAATATAACGATAACGGATTAATTCATTTCGCTTTATCATTATACACCTTTTTTTTTTTTGCTAATATGATTGGCTTATTTGCGATCCAGAATCATTTCCATGTTTGGACGGTCCCTCTTAGAGCCTCGATACACAGAACAGATAGCATTAACTTTATCGGCATAACATAGCCAGCATTAGGGACGGGTTCAAGCCGAAATAGATCGTACCGATATTTCTAAAGCTTATTTATGTTAGGATTAACGTTTAATTAAGGTTAAATATCAAGTAAATTGCTCAAAAAAAGCTTTTATTAGTGCACGAAAAGTGATTTTATGAAACCTTTTGGGTAATTGTCTGTTAAAACGTACGTACATATGTACCAGTCTTTCAAATTTAATAACGATAACTTCTCAAAACCGATACCGGTTTTGGTGGTGTAGACCGTATATAGAAAGTAATTACTTCGAGTTAAATAAATTTCCTAACGTTAAATCCCAAGTTGAAATTAATTTGACCAATCTAATTTTGCCAGAATTTTGTGATACTAGAAATTTTTGTAATAGCAACAGCGGGTATTTTAAAAAGGAAATAGTTTAGTAGCGCCATTGTATTGTGTAGCTATGACATAACTCATGTGCAATGGCGCTATCAAACAAAATATTTCCCTAAAAATAAAAAAAAATCAAAATATTTATATACTGGCTGGTTATGTACGTCATTTAATATCTGAATGCTATTTATTGACATTAAAATACACGCAGGATATTCATATGCGCTCTTCAAGCTGGTTTACAAAACGACAAAGTGAAAAAGTGGAACGCTTTTAGACTTGCTTCGCCGCTCTTTGTCGGTACCTTTTATTTTGTTCTAAAAAACAACCTTTAAATCCGAAGTAAACTTCGAAAACTGCAACATAATGGAAAAGTCTGCATCGCAAGGTCCAAAAAGGAGTCTTTCCTCCGGATCAACTTTAATGGGCAATTCTGATGATAATTTTTCAAGTATCGTTGAAGACTATGAGATAAACAAAGAAAATCCCATAGGTACAGTTGTCAAATTGTTAAAAAAATATACTCATAAGTTTAGACAATACGATTAAACATTTAATTGTACATGACAACGAACATAAATAATACATTGCATAGGTTATGGTGCATCTGCCATAGTATATAGTGCCATATATAAACCTTTAAGCAAAAAAGTTGCAGTCAAAATGATTAATTTGGATTTTTTTGAGCGAAATCAAATCGATGAAGTGAGGGTATCGAAATATTATATGAATTTGGTCTTGATTTCCAATGTTATATTTTTGACACTTATTTTTGTGAACATCTTATATATAATTAGAGAGAAACACAGTTGATGTCGCTATCTAAACATCCTAATGTATTACGTGTTTACGGCTCGTTCGTGAATGAGTCAATTTTATACATCGTAACTCCATATATGTCGGCTGGTATGTCCGATTATTTAAATGATTCAATTTCATTATATCGGATTGCCGTTATCGACGTCATGTGAACATGTTGAAAGATATTCACCTAATTATCAGGTTCTTGCTCGGATATCATGAAGACTTCATATCCCGATGGCTTTGAGGAGGCAGTTATCGCTACTATATTGAAGCAGGCACTTCAAGGATTAGATTATCTACATAAAGCTGGTCATATTCACAGGTAAATTGTCTGTCATTAATTATTTAAACATATTATTTTTTAGAATTTACAAAATATTCATTATCAATCCAATAGAGATGTTAAAGCTGGAAATTTGCTTGTAGATGAAGACGGAACTATTTCGCTTGCTGATTTTGGTGTATCATCCTCTCTTACGGAGAATGGTGATCGAAGGGGATTTCGGAGAACTTTTGTTGGCACAGTATGTTGGAAATAATATTATATAATTTAGTACATTGGGTGACGTTAAATTGAGAAAAATCTTGTTATATACAAATTAAATTAGCCATGTTGGATGGCGCCGGAAGTGATGAAACATGCCGATTATGACTACAAAGCCGATATTTGGTCTTTTGGGATAACTTCGATCGAGTTGGCAACTGGAAATGCACCATTTGCTAAGTACTCTCCAATCAAGGTATTTTTGATTTTAAAATTGTGTTATATCTATATATTATATAATTTCTTATATCATTTATTGAAACAGGTCATTATGGTGACTCTTTCAAATGATCCGCCGACTTTGGATAGAGATGCCACTAAACATAAATATACTAGAGCTTTCAAGGAGATGATTGATCAGAGCTTGCAAAAAGAACCATCGAAACGGTTAATACAGTTTAATATATTTAACATTATTCTTTAAGTGTTGTAATATTTAAATAAAATCCACTAACGTTTTTAATTATCTAGGTTAAGTGCTGATAAGTTACTAAGTCATCCATTTTTCAGAACAGCTAAAAAAAAGGAATATTTGGTAACAAAAATTTTGCAGAACTTGCCACCGCTTGAAGAAAGACCACATAAAAGTAATTTTAATATATATTTCGGTCATATAATTTAAAACAATGATTATATTATTATCATTGATTTTTATAAATACTTTCTCATTTTGAAATATAGGAGTTCAACAAAAACCAATAACTTATACCAAGGGAGGAGATACATGGGATTTTCAAGAATTGGATGAGATAACATCCAATCAGGAAGTCAGAAGTGTCACGTTCGACATGCCTTCTGATGCCAGTGAACTTCCAACCTCAAAGGAGGACTCGAGTGCAGCGACAAATGTGCTACCAAAGAAATCACGATTTCTGCTTGTAGACCAGTCCACCAGCCCTGAGTCGGGTACACTGCTACCATCATCTATACCCAGTACACCATCCGATTCATCTATTACTCAATATCCACTTTATCCTCCATCCTCAAGTGGACTTCAACACTCGACTAATGAAGAACAAGCAGTTAAAAAAGGAAGGTTCAGTGTAACAGAAAGGACCGCTTCAGGTGGTTCACAACCTGAACACGAAAGTCAACGCCATTCTTTAGAAAGAGCGCGATCCAACGAAAATCTCACAGGTGACACTTAATATGATGGTACCTGCATTGTACTGGTAGTCATTTTACTGTTATGAAAGTTTTATATGAACTCTAATCATTTTACCCTTTTCTAATAATTTTAGATAAAAAGAGTCGATTTGAAGTCCAGCAAACAACTACACATTCTTTAGATGCTCTTACAGCTGCCACTGTGAAAAATGATTCCATATTGAGCAAGGAGGATGGTGGATATTCGGATACAACAACCACCGAGCAACCTACTAGCACTGAGAAATCTACGAGCACTAAGAAAGGAAGATTTCAAGTGCAAACAAAGATTAATAGTTCTACGTCATCATCAGGTATATAACTGTTGAAATTAAGATAAATAGTTATGTAATTTGTTTAAGAAATAATAGATATCATATTGGTTATTCGATTATAATCGTTATTTAAAAGTCTTTGTCAACATTTGAATAAAGAAACATGATACATTTGCCCTATTGTTTCATACTTTATTTGTTGCCTGTATTTTAAATCCATATAAACTAGGAACCTCACATACTTCCGATGTGGTATATTCACCACAATCCACTATCACGGGTCACTCTCCTAGTATATCCCCAACTTCATCCATTTTACGTGGACAAATGAACTATAACGCAATGAATGCTCAAATTGCATCGTTATTACAACAGAACGAGACACAGCGCAATTTGTTGAAAGACTTGCTTAACCTTTATGGGGATGTTAACAATACGACTTCTTTAGATAGTAGATTGCTTTCGCAACAACAAAATCAAAGTCCACTACATTCACCATTTCAAAATGGAAATTTTGAATCTAATATAAGTTCGTCAAGAGAAATGTCTGAATATTTGGTATATAAGTTACATCTATTCAAATATACAACGATATATACTTTAATTTACCAAACTTCTTTTCATTGCTTAAAGAATCATATTGATCGTCAGTTTCAACATATATTGCATGAGAATGAAGACCTACGGAAAGAAAATGAAAATTTGCGAAGAGAGGTTGATAGGTTAAGGAAACTGCAACCAGTTTCAATCACACATAATACACCAGAATTGAATTAGTTTCAAATTTATTTTGTTTGACACCAATCTTATATTACAGGTAGGTGTTAACTTTTTTTTTTTTTTTACATAAAGAGGAAAATAAATGGTTTAAATGGATTATCTGTAAACAATTTTGTACTTTGCGTTAAATCATTAGTATAATTTTATGTTTTATATATGTTAACCTATGTGTAATTACAACAAAATAATTGGGAAATTTCATTTAAATAGTTTATAGACTTAATTTATTTATGTTTGTTTAACTTAAAGGGCGTTTAACAAATATATACTAATTTTATATGGTTAATAAAGACCATTTATTGATTTATCTTAAATACTCTGAGTATCATCTACCGACAGCATGAACATGAAGACAACTACAGTTACGGATTATTTTTTACAATCGTCTGCTACAACTTTTTTTTTGCTTTTTATTATTAATTGTAATTCAAACTGTAAAAGAAAAAAAAGACGTAAGGGTAGGGTGTATGTAGATTTTTTTTTTATAAAATTACTTGCGTATCCAACGTACGTACTATCCATAAATCGAATAGATAATTTTTTGGTGTAACAATCACGATGATCTATAGCATTACTGGATATACTATCAGCTATATGTAGTGATAGTGCTAATTTTTTGTTTAAGGGAATTGATATTTTCACACCTTTTTTTGATATTTGCCACCCTTGCTTACTCAAACCCAAAGCATAACTTATATTAATTTTATTAATAGGGGTGTGATTAGCCTGTTTATGGAGCATCCTGTTGACTTCATTTTAATAGTAATACGCCAGAGTATTATTATTAAAATAAAGTCAACGGAGTACTTCATTGACAGTAACAGTTTGAAAAAAGGTGTGGAAATACAGTCAATTTTTCTAAATTCGATTGGTTAATTTTGTAGATCATTTCATGATTTTACATGATCTGATTGGCTAATAGACTTATCTAAAATATTTTACAAAATATGAGTAACGAAAAGGGAAAACCTTTAAATCATTTCAATCAATGAGTGAAATGATTTACAGGTTTTCTCTTTTCGTCACTTATATAATAACATTGATTTAATAAAGAATACATTTATTTAAGAAAATATTATTATAGTATTATAGCATTATAGTGTTATATATAAATATAAAATAAGTATAATATATAAATTAAAATAATCTTTTTTATGTATAAAATATAATTTTTAGTTAGAGTTAAATTAAAGTTAATGTTAAGATTAGACAAGACATAACTTATATTAAAATTTTACAAAAAAATTTTATTATTTCTTTTTTTTAAATATTAACAGTAAAAAAATTTTTTTATTAAAATATAAATAATCAGATTATATAATAAAATTCTATAATGGATATGATGATTTAGTAGAGTGATTAAGTTGTCAACCTTTTAAGTAATAAGTTATGAGTTCAAAACCTATTAATGATAAAAATTTGAACAACCATTTATATAATATTTATATTATAATAATTGTTTTTAATAATTAGATTAAGATATTTGTAATTATAATTATATTAACATAACTAAAAGTTATAGAACATTTTATAACTAGTTATACAGAGAAATGCAAACTAGTATTAGGTGATACAAATTCAAGATAAGTTATTGTAGTTATATAAATCTGTAAAAATTAAAGAACAAAAAGTTCATTTAAAAAGATATAAGTAAAAAAATAATACAAATCTTTAATAGTATTATTATAAAGATTAAACTTAGAAAATAGATATTAATATAAAGTATTTAGACAGATAAGAACCTTTGTATAAAAGGTATTACTAATCAGACTGTTGAAATTCTAACTATAAAAATTAAAGAAAAAGGAAATTAGGCTAATCTAATATACTAATAGACTGGTTTTAGTTCAATTAAACTATTTGGATTAGAAATTTGAAAAACAGACAGCAGATATACTAAAATTACTAGAAATATGTTATAAAGTAAATGCTAGAGTTTGTATGAATTTTGCAAAGGCAAGCTCTATTAATAATTTATATAGTATATAGATTAGTTAATAGAGATTTTTTAAAATCTATAGTTATATAATGTATTTTGAAATTAAGTAATAACTTGATAAACATATAAAAAAAAAACAAAATGTTGAGTTGAATAGCACTTAGTTATATAGAAACTAAGATGACTAACTGCTTAGATATAGCATAAGAATTAGAGAGTTTAATTAGATGGTTTTTTAGTAGATTATAGGTATAACAGCTAATATAGAATTTTTAAATAAACTACTTAAATAAATAACTAAAAGTTATATATGGCTAATTGTATATTTATCTTGTATAAGTAATATGTAATGTATTAACTAAAAATACAAATAAAAATATTAATCACTATTAATATCAATCATAATAAAATAAATAAAAAAATAAAAAAAAAATAAAAAATATAATTTTATAACAAAAAAATATATATTAAATTAATTAAAAAAACAAAATAAAAAAATAGTAATTCTAGTATAATAGTTATATTATCATTCTTCAAATAGCAAGTCTAATATTTAAATATTATCTATAATGAAATATAAAAATTATATTTGTATTACAGTAACTGTCTTATATTAATTAGTTGGCCTTATGCAACTGTAATTCAGATATATCAAATTTAGTAACTTAAAAACTCATAGCATTTATGCAAAATTCAATGTTATATTTATATAAAGAAATGTTTATTAATATTATACAAAACTTTAATACAAATTTGTAATAAACTATCAGGTATAAAAAACAAAAACCAAGATAACAGAAACTTACTTAGAAATTCTTAAGTAAAAAGTAATATAAACTTTTGATAATATTATTAGATTGATTAAAGTCTATAAACTATCTTTAAAAAAACAGATTAAATAAACTAAATGCAAAATATATATAAAAAAGCATATAACTAACTAGATTGCTAAATTTATTAGAAAAAAAAAATATAAAAATATCAGGCTATCTGAATTGGTTATCTTGTTTAAATTTGTTAGTTTTTTTTTTTTTTAAAAAAAATATTAAGATAAGTACTTGTGACTTAGAATTTTATTAATAGTATATTTGGCTAATGGTTGCATTACAACTACAAGAAGCAACTATAAAAAGAATATACAACTAGCCACTTGTACAACTTTAGTCATTGTTTAATTTAAGTAGTCTGCTTGAAGGTTCTATACTAGATGCCATACCTGAAATCTGCTTGTAGGTTTTTTATTTAACTACTCTAGTTTTCATATTTATTCATCTACTTTTGCCTACTAACGATCCTGACCAATGCCAATGAAAATATGCTATGCTATTAAGTCTTTAAACAGTTCTTTGGAACCTTTGACCTTGTACTAAACCTTCCAAAACCTTATATATTCTATTCTTACAGCTAACTCGGTATCATTATAACTAAGACCAATACTAGTAATCAGAATGTACTATTAAACTGCTATGCTCTTATAAAGTTCACCCCAACTCTGATACTGACTTTACAACATATTCTTACTACTTTGGTATTCAATTTAAGTTTTACCAAGTTGCCATTCCAGATAGCCTAGAAAGGTAGATCAAAACTATATACCTTTGGTTTACATGTTTGCTAACATGTATCCTTTTTTCTAGAACCCAGAAATTCTGGCAGTTTGGTTGGTTCATTTGGTCTCTCCTCAAAGACTAGCACATTTGCCTAGTTTTACAAGTTCTAGCTTCATTTTATAAGTCTAGTCTTTACAGTAACACTGTTGAAAGTTTGGATTATTTCTCTATTTGGGTTTTCCAAGTAGGCTTTTGTCTTCCTTTTTTTGGTTTCTATAATTTATATGGCTATAAGGACTTATTGTAGGTTTGCACCATCTGGTACCAGTTTGTATTCCTTTATATAACTACAGACCTTGTCCCAAAGGACAATGTTATATGACTATTATACAAATACCATGTAACCTGCCAGTCATGCTGATGCAATACAGATAACAGGTATCTTATTTCAACTAATTGCAAGCAACAGTTAACTATAACATAGAAAGATATTTTAATACATTGACAAAAAAAATAGGCTGATATATATTGATTATTAACTATAACAGATATATATTAATAGTAATCCCCTTTGTTAGGTTATATTGATTAAGATATATATTAATATATAAGAATGAGTTAGTAAAAAAATAACAAATCATTTTTAGTGAATTTTTTTTAATTTTTAAATTTAAATAACTCAACAACTATTTAATCAAATTTACTAAAAACTTTTTTATTTTAATCTTGAAATTAATAAAATTAAAATAAGAAAAAATTATTAAATTTAATAAAATAGTTGTTAAAATATTTAAGCATAAAGTCAAGAAAACTTTTACTTAGAAAAAATTTGTTCTTTTTTTACTAACTCACTCTTATATATTTATTATAATAAAAAATTAATAAAAAATAATTTAGTATAATATTGATATATATTAAATATATTTAATACTATTAACTTTATATCAATAACCATGATAATACTAACTTTTAATAAAATTTTAAAGTAAATAATTATATTTATGACCTTTAAAGTTGATAACATAGCAGTTATGCTTTAAGGTCATAAATTACAAGGTTGCCAGTTCAAATCCTAGTAACAGCAATTGTAGAGATATATTTCCAAAAATAGAAAACTGCAACACTGCAGAACCAGAAACCTGGAACATTTAAAGAATAAACTTATTTCTAGAAATAGCAAGTAATCTGCAGTTAAGAAGTCACATAGTGATGAACACAAGTTAGAGCCTAATTTGGAATAAGTAAAGTTATGAGATATAATGTGAAGCCAAAAGTCTGACAATAAAAGATACTACATGAACTCATAGTAACATCTAGGTCTAGACTGAGCTTAACAAAGCCTTCTGCTTCTGGCAAAGATTAGTGCAATAAATCACTTCTGGAAAATTTAAAAGTACAGACTGGAGAAGGTTAAGGTTCAGCATTTGATAACATTTAAGAACATTAGTTTGAGAATATAGGAGCAAGAACAATCTTGACAAGATCATCAAAGGAAAAAAAAATTTACA